AATGGCCCAACCACAAGCACTTACTGCAAATGTTAGTATCTCCCCCTCTCTATCTACATGGCTTCTTGACGATGGTGCATCCCACCATGTCACAAATGACCTCAACAATTTGGCTGTGCATTCTCCCTACAACGACACTGAGGAATTAATCATTGGTGATGGTACAGGTTTAAAAATTTCTCACATTGGTTCTCTTTCTTTTTCACATTCATCCTTTTCTCTCAAACTGAATAATGTTCTTTATGTTCTTTCCATAGCTCATAATATCATTTCCATCTCTCAATTTTGTATTGAGAATAATCACTACAAGAAAACAGCCGAATTCCGACGGACTGGTTCCGACGAATTCAAGCAACCCGTCGTACTTTTCCGTCGAATTCAAGCAACCCGTCGTAAATCCGTCGGAAATTTCTGACGGATTTTAAATCCGTCGGAATATTTGTTCTTTCCGACGGAAAAGGTCATTTCCGGCGGAAAAATAATCCCTCGATAATTTCCGACGGATTTTTCCGTCGGAACATATTTTAAAAAAATTTGAAATTTTTTAAAAACCAAACCCTAACCCTTTTCTTTGTGGGAGCCGCCCCTTTTCTTTTTCCCCTCTCTTTCTCTTTCTTTCCTCTCTTCTCTTTCTCTCTCCTCCTTGTCCGCCACTTTCCTCTCCTCTTTCTTTCCTTTCTTCTCTTTCTCTCTCCTCCTGGTTAGCCCTCTTTCCTCTCCTTCTTTCCTCTATTTTCTTTTCCTTCTTCCTCTATTTTCTTCTCCTTCTTTCCTCTATTCTCTACCCGCATCTTTCTTCTCCTTCTTTCCTCTATTTTCTTCCCCTCTTTCTTCTACCATGACAACCACCACGCCATCACCAACACCATCACCCACAATCAACAACGACAACAACAAAGAAGAGTAGAACCACCGCCGTACAACAACCACCGTGCAACAACTCTCAGGCGGCCACAAGAACACCGACAACAACAATATCAATTGCACAGCAACAACAACGACAACATCAAGTATTGTAGATCTTGTTTTAATTGTAGATCTAGTTTTTTTTTTTTAATAAATTTTTGATTATGGTTAATTTTTAAGTAATTGTAATATTAGGTTATAAATTTTATGAGATAATTGTGTATCTATCTAATTCCTTCAATTTTTTGTGGTTGATTTTATTTTTATTTTTAGTGATATTCTGGATATAACTTGTTTCTCTTATTTTTAGATCTTGTTTTTGTGGGAATTTTTGTTTCGGATTTTTGTTTTGGATTTTACGTTTTTTTTTTCGATTTGGTATTTTTTTTTTCGTTTTTCTGGGTGGGTGGGTTAGGGGGTTGGTTAGGTGGGGTGGTGGTGGCTCGACAGGGTGGGGGTCTGGTTAGGGGTGGGTGGGTGGGTGGGGTGTGGGAGGTTTGAATGGGGTGGTGGAGGTTTGGACAGGGTGGGTGGGGTGGAGCTGGTTTTTTTTTTATTTTTTTTTTATTGATTTTTGCGACGGAATTTTCCGTCAGAATATACCTCTTCCGACGGAAATTTCCGTCGGAAAATTGCGACGGGTTTTCAATTAAAGTCAAAAACAACGCCGACAGACTTATATCCGTCGAAAATTCCGTCGGAAACTAGTCTTCCGATGGAAATTCCATCGGAAAAGGTCAAATTTCCTACGAATGGTTTTGCGACAGACTAATTCCGACGGAATTCCGTCGGAAGACCGTTTTCCGACGGAATTTCCGATGTTTCCGACGGATTTTTTCCGTCGGAATAAAGTTGTATTCTTGTAGTGAATGCATCCATAGAGTTCCTACCAACATCTTTTCTTATAAAGGATCTCAAAATCGGGGTATGTCTTCTCCAGGGTCCAGTAAGATCGGGAGAATCAAACCCACCCCACCTCAAGTTTTCACGAGCATTAAACCTAATTCACTTGATTGGCACCATCGCTTAGGGCATCCATCACAAAGAGTATTTAGACAATTTATTTCCTCAAACAATCTAAATGTCTCTAGCATCTCTACCTTGGACTACAATTCTTGTGCTTGCAATAAGAGTCATCAATTACCATTTTCTGTCTCTTCTATATCCTTTTCCTCACCTCTTCAATACATTTATACCGACTTGTGGACTGCTCCCATCTATTCCCACGATGGATATACAAATATTATGTGATTTTTGTTGATCATTATACCATGTATATTTGGCTATACCCTTTGAAACAAAGATCAGACACTAAAATATTTTCATCCGATTCAAAGCCTTGGTGGAAAAATATTTTCAACTTCCTCTTATCACATTATACTCTGACAATGGGGGTGAGTACGAAGCATTAAATGACTATTTGGCCGTTGATGGGATTTCGAGACTAACCACTCCACCTCACACTCCCCAACATAATGGTTTTTCTAAGAGACGTCATAAACATATAATCTAGACATTTCTTTCCCTCTTTACTCATGCAAATATGCCTCTAGAATATTGGTCAAATGCGTGTGTTACGATCGCATATTTGATAAATCGTCTACCCACACCTATTTTAAAGAATGAGTCACCTTACTCAAAGTTATTTGGGATTAAGCCTAATTACTATAAGTTAAGGAGTTTTGGGTGTCTTTTCTATCCTTGGTTAAAACCTTATACTAAGCACAAACTAGAACCGAAATCGACTCCATGTGTCTTCATTGGGTACTCTTCTACTCAAAGTGCTTGTTATTGTCTTGATATTAAAACACACAAATTATTCACATCACGGCATGTTCATTTTGTTGAGCACAAATTTCCTTTTTCTGACTTAGTACAACCTAAACATTCTCTTCCAATTTTAATCGAAGAATATATAGTGTCAAATTTCCCTACCTATTATTACCAAGCCTACTCATGAACCAACACCACCTATTTTCGCTACTTCACTCCGATCCCCACTCCAAATTCTCTCACTGTCTCAAATAAACAAAGCCTACCAAATTTATCAAGCTCACAAAATTCTCCAATATTGTCATTCAATGACATGGACAGTAGTCCCTCCTCACAATCTAACTCCCCTACACAACCCTCACCCTCAAATACTGCCACTTGTCCTCAACCAACACATACAATGACCATAAGACTAAAACGGCATTCGAAAACCAATTAGTAAAACTAATTTGAATGCAGAGGTTAAGGAAATAGAACCAAAAACCATAGCACAAGCACTAAAAAGTCCGGTGTGGTGCAAAGCAATGGGTGAGAAAATTTTAGCGTTAATTCATAAAACTTGGGATCTTGTTCCCCCCTCATCATCACATACTGTTGTTGGTTGTAATGGATTTTTCGAATTAAGAAGGATAAGGATGGGAATATTATTCAATACAAGGCTCGGTATGTGGCGAGGGGGTTTAATTAACGTTCGAGTGTTGACTATAGTGAGACATTTAATCCCGTAGTCAAACCAGCCACGGTTCGTCTTATCCTCTCTCTTGCAGTCACTCAAGGGTGGCCTTTACGACAACCAGACATTAACAATGCCTTTTTACAAGGTACTCTCACTGATGAAGTCTACACTATACAACCTCCAGGTTTTGCTGATCCACAATATCCAAATTATGTGTGCAAATTAAACAAAACTCTCTTTATGGCTTGAAACAAGCCCCAAAGGCTTGGTACCAAGAATTACGACAACATTTGATTACTTTGGGGTTCAAAAAAACAGTGTTAGACTCTTCTTTGTTCACTCTACATACTAATGGTTCAATTATTTACTTGTTGGTTTATGTAGATGACATTATTGTTACAAGTAATGATCCTAAATTCCTTGAAAGATTTTTGCAAAAGCTCTCATCTCGTTTCTCGCTAAAAGACCTCGGTGACTTGTCTTACTTTCTTGGAGTTGAGGTCATACCTCACTCAAATAGGTTATTTTTAAGTCAGAGGAAGTATATTAATGATATTTTGTGTAAAGCAAATATGGAAGATGCTAAACCTGTTGCTACTCCATTGGCAAGTCATTCTCCTTTAACAATGCATAGTAAATTGTTAACAGATCCTACTGAATATAGAACATTGATTGGCAGTCTACAATACTTGAGTCTTACGCGGCCCGACATTGCCTTCACCGTGAATAAGCTGGCTCAATATATGCTCCAACCGAAGACCACACTTATGCAATCTCTACGACGCCTTCTAAGCTACCTCAGTGGGACTTCCTACATGGGATTTCTTTTACACAAAGTCCCTCCTCTTACATTACATGCTTACTCTAATGCGGATTGGGCTTGGGATAAGGATGATTAGATTTCCACATACAACAACCTACATTGTTTACCTTGGCAAAAATCCCATATCTTGGACATCTAAGAAGCAAGGTACTCGGGCTCGTTACTCCACTGAAGCCGAGTATAGAGCCGTAGCAAATGGTTTAGTAGAAATCCTATGGATACGTAACTTATTTCTAGAGCTCGGTCTAAAGTTAACACAACAGCCTGTGATCTATTGTGACAATGCCGTAGCAACCTATGTTAGTGTCAATCCTGTTTTTCACTCGAAAATGAAGCATCTAGGCTTGGACTATCATTTTGTACGCAAAAATGTTCAATCTAGTCAGCTCCGAGTGGCTTACATCTCTACCGATGATCAACTTGCTGATGCATTAACAAAACCGCTACCAAGAACTACGTTCACCAAGTTGATCCGCAAAATTGGTCTTTATTGCTTGCCGACCATTTTGACGGGGCGTGATAAGGATTGACTATGTCAATTATCAATCCTTGAATATATTGTAATTATCTTAAGGATTATTCTCCTATAATTGAGCTAGAATTATATTCTTGTAACTGAAATATGCTGACTTCTAGCATATTACTTTAGCTTGTAAATGTTATACTTGTATATACTTTCCAAGTTTATGAGAATAGCACAACTTCTCTTAATATCTTTTCTTATTTCTCTACAAGGACGACAAGCATGGTATGGACTATGGTATGAGTGGTGATAAACCTAATAAGGCTAAATGGATAGAGTAATTATTATCCGTCCTTCATAGTTTGTAAAATAAATAAATATACTCCCTACCTCAACCACACAATTCTTATCCCACGCTTTTGCTACATTTTTAATTTTTTGGCATGGGATCGCGAGGAACGCACGAGAAAACGATGGCCGGCCTTGTCAATGTACATGTAATCTTGTATTAAGGAGCAGATAACAATTTTGAATTTTCTGGTACGGAACTAATGAAATGTGACTCGTCTATAAATTCAACTGTTTTCGTTGTTGTACCAACACAAGCAATCAAACAATTTACCAACAAAACATCAACTAGAGAAAGAGAAAGAAAAAAAAAAGATGGAATCTGATTTATGCCCGCCTGGTAAGATTTATACTACACTTAATTTAATTGCACGCAATATTCATTATGATATAGTACTTTTATATTATATGCTTGTACTATTAATAAAATTAGTACACCTACATGTTACATGATGATATGAATAAATTAAGGCCATGTATGTAACATAACATAACGTACGTAATTTCCTAGAGCAATAAAACTTGTTGATCTTTGTCACTATATAGTGTAAATTTCTAGAGATCGAATCAAGTCTTTATGTATTCTGTATTATGACAAATTATATGATTTTGCAGGGAAGCTAAGCTGGCCGGAATTGGTTGGAAAGAATGGAGAAGAAGCAGCTGAAATAATTAAGCAAGAGAATCCTCTTGTCGATCCCATTGTTTGAGATAAAATATGGAGGCCATATGACTACAATTGTTATCGGGTTTTCGTATTCGTTGATTCGGATGGTATCGTTACTAGTCCTCCAGTGGCAGGTTAAGCAATGCATGAATCATGCAAATAATATGTACACATCAAATTATATAAGTACTAAATAAATGAATGTGTACGGGTATGTAGCACGTAGTAGTGTAGTACGGATCCGACTATCCGAGTATGTGAGATTATGAAATATGAAGTGATGATTCTGATGAACTACTTGCAATCTATTTCAACTACCATAAAAGGAAATTGGGTAATAATATCTATGTTTAGTTCCAAACAAATGGAGTACGCGCATACTCGTCCACCAAATTGGTTAACGAAGCTAGATTTTCGTAGTTAACCATTGACAAATAACAACATGCATGTAAAATACATTTTATATTCGCGTCAACTCCATATTTTGAGATGAAGAGAATAAATACATTAGTATTATTCTTTTGCGTATAATGATATACTTGTATACGGTCATATAAAATTGGCTTCGTTTGTCAATTAGGGACCACATTTACATTAAGTGACCAACATATATCATTGAATCCAGCATTGGTTTTTAAAGCCAAACCATGGCTATCCAATTACTTGTATGTTGCAAATGCTATATGGGGCTTCGCATCAAGCCCAACCATTGCATGCATCATCAAGCCCAATATTCGTCTGGCCCAAGATTTTAGGTTAAAAGCAGATCAAGTCAATAACGATTATCTGATACAATTCGGTTTAGTTTTGAGTCAGGTTCACGTGAGTCAATTTCATACTTGTTCCAAATAATCTGGTTCTAAGCAATTAGCCTACAACTAGGTCAAGTCAATAGCGAGCAAATTTAGAGTTTGATTTACTCCTCTATTCCACTATATAGTTCTCATTTCTATTTTTATGGTTTAACTTTGTAAACTTTGACTAATAGTGATTCTCATTAATGTATACAACAAATTATGTCGGAAATTATTAGATTCGTCTCAATACATAGTTACTATAATATTGAATTTTTACAAATTTTGTCACAGAATTCGAAGGAACTCCATAATATACAATGAGTAATACGATTATACGAGTAATTAAAGTTACATCATTTGAAACAGATGGGAGTAAAAATGGAAGACCAATTTTACTGTTTCATCACCGTGTTGTGGTCTTGTGGACCTCGTGGACTCGTGGTGCAAATGTGCTATGACTTTTTTTTTTTTTTTTAATTTTTTTTTTTTTTTAAATCAAGGGAAGAAAAGAATCCTAAATTAACCGGCTTAAGAGGGACAAAAGAAAACAAAGTTACTTAAAAAAGAGGGAATGAAGTAAACGAGTTGCAATTTCAGATTTTGAAACCCTAGTTCATCTTAGATCTAAAATTAGTCAAAAACCCTCTTTTTCTAGAATTCATGGTAGCTTTAAAGCTGAATCTGCAGATCATTTTCATGTTATTACCCAGGTAATTTTTCAATTTTCCCCTAATCTATTTTGAATGTTCTGAAATTAAGCTCATTTTGAGTGCTTAATTCGGCATAATACTATCTGGGATTTGATAAATTTGCAAATTTGAAGATACCCAGTTGAATTTTTTGTGAATTTATAGGGACCCAATTGATCATTGGGTCAATTAGTGTGGAAATAATTTTGTGGGTTTAGAGAAAATGGGTCAAAATTATGTGTTGAAAGAGGAAGAAAAAGTTATGGTGGAAGCTGTTGTTGGGAAAGATGCATATAATTTCTTGATGTCAACAGCATGTGATGATTCTCTGTCAGAATTTAATCCACCAGGTGATATTTTGAATTTGCAACAAGGGTTATGTCAAATTGTTGATGGATCTAGTTGGAATTATGCAATCTTTTGGCAAATTGCTAGCTCTAAAAATGGTAAGACAGTGTTGATTTGGGGGGATGGGCATTGCCGGGATCCGAAGGCGGTGTTAGCTAGAGAGAGTGTAGATGGTGGGAATGGGAAATTTGGTAAAAATGAGGCCAAAAAGAGGGTTCTTGAGAAGCTACATGCTTGTTTTGGGGGATCAGTGGAGGATAATTTTGCTGCAACATTGGATAAAGTATCAGATGTTGAGATGTTGTATCTTACATCTATGTATTATTGGTTTCGGTTGGACTCTTCTTTGGGTCCTGCGAAATCCTTTACTAGTGGCAGGCCAATTTGGGTTTCGGATGTTAGAAGTTGTTTAGATCATTACCAATCGCGTGCACACTTAGCGAAATCAGCTATGTTTCAGACAGTTGTGTTTGTGCCTGTGAAAACTGGAGTTTTAGAGTTGGGTTCTGTGAGAACTGTTATGGAAGAGCATAGTTTGGTGCAAATGGTGAAGACTGTATTTGGTGAATCACATTCTTTTCCGGCCAGAGCTTCCCCTAAAGTTTTTGGGCGTGATCTTAGTCTTGGTAGTGGTTCTAGACCACGCTCAATGAACATAAGTTTTGCTCCAAAGAAGGAAGATGACGCCTCATTTTCTGCAGAATCTCATGTTGCTGGGAATGATATAGGTCCTAAGAATATATTTGTGTCACCTTCTAATGGAAAGCATGGTGAACACGGTGACAAGAAACTCTTTTCAGAGATCAATTTTGGGGGTTCAAATCCAGAGACTGATTTCCCTGCATTAGATGAGGCTAGCAAAGAGTTTTTGTTGCATGCTGCTGAGCTAAGAGCACGTAAGAGACCAGTTAGGAGACCCGCTAGTGGGAGAGAAGAAGCAATGAGCCATGTCTTAGCAGAAAGACAAAGACGAGAGAAGCTTAACCAACGGTTTTATGCATTGAGAGCTGTTGTCCCAAATATCTCTAAGATGGATAAGGCGTCACTTCTTCTTGATGCCATTTCATATATTAACGATCTCCAAACTAAGATCAGTGCGCTTGAGGCTGAAAAGGAGGCTGCTAATCCCAAGCAGGAGGAACTTCCTCTCCCAGAGATTGATTTTCAGGCAAGGCAAGATGATGCACTTGTTCATGTTAGTTTCCCTCTTGATGATCACCCTGTTTCTAAAGTTGTAAGAACTTTGAGGGAACATCAACTTGTCGCACTAGAGGCCAATGTTAGTACAGCAGATGATAAAATGGTTCATACATTCAAAATCCAAGCTCAAACTGAAGGGGCTGAGAATCTTAAGGAGAAGCTAGAGACTGCTCTTTCCAAATAAACTACAATAGGAGAAAGTTTAATTGTATAATTATTCTTTGTTCTATAATCATAAGTTAAAGTACACATGTTTCAGACGAGGTTTTGATTTTCTTCCTTAAATCGTCTATTTATGGTTTACTATCTCCTCCTCAGAGTTATAGTAGATTATTGTGTGCGATGTTAACTGAACCAATCAATACCATTGCAAAGTCTACTATAGACAGGGTGTTCTTGTAACCTTAGAAAGTCGGTAGAAGTATTCAAGGCTATTTGCTTTCTCGTTTGAAGCTCTCTAAATGAGGTAGAAATAACCTTGAAGGTACACCTGATTTAACAGAATTTGCAGAATCTCTGCTTGTTGCCTTCATGATGAATTATCAATTCCTGGGATGAACGAAGTAGTAAACTTCATTACTTGAAACTCCAATAGAAGCAAAATGTTAGTGCCGTTCAGATCTAATTGCAAGAACAATAATAACTTCAACGATTTGATTGCATGAACAACAACTTTAACAGGCTAGAATCTGGGCAAAACCCTGATATCCTATATTAACAAAAACATGTTTATATCACCAATTTTTCTCTCTCCTCCCCTCACATGGACATTATTTCCTTCCCTCTTCTCTATTCCCATGGCCACTATTTCCTTCTCTCTCCTCCCCTCCCATGGCCATGGCCAACATCGACCACCTTCGCGGCTCTAAATCGGCCGGCCGGCAAACAAAAGACACCTTAGTAGCAAATTATGAAAATTGGGCCTATACTAACCCCTTAGGGAAAGGGATTCGCTCGTGCCGGTGGTGTGGCGGTCGAATGGTGGTGCTAATGGTCATGCGGTGGTCGGCTGGTGGTGCTAGTGATGCGGTGGTCGGCAAGTGAAGCTAATGGTTGTGCGGTGGTGCGGCAAGTGGTACTAGTGATTGTGCGGTGGTGATAGAGGGGAGAGATAGGGGGTGCGGCTGCTAAATTTACAAAATTAGCCTTGATATTAACAAGTTTTGTGAACATAGGATATCAACTTGTATTATCTCCTATAATCTCTCTTACATTTAAAAAATGAAAACATTAATCTCCCTCATGGCAATATGGGTAGAAAAAGGTGCAACACAAGAAATTTCAAAGAGGTCACCCATTTTAGGACGTTCTAATGGAATTTGGTGTATTAGTAAATAGTAATGATGTAATGATATATTATGAGTGCAATTATACATATACGATTTAACTTGATCGTCAAATTAACTTTGTACTCCATAATATTTAGAGGGGAAAAAAGAATGACGAAAGGTTCAAATATCAAATAAGTAGTAAATAAATTTGGAGGGTATAAGTTTTTTTTCCAAATAATTTTAACGTATTTGAACTTATATTATCAAAACTTATTTTGTTTCAATAGATCTTATTTTGTTTGAAATAAATCAGAATAAGTTCAAAGATAACACACTATTAAGTCTGTTATTTTAATATTAATGCGACAAATTAAAAGTGTCAATTCGGATGTCCGAATTGGGTTCGGTGAGATAGGATCGGATCGATTCAAATTTTAAAGTTGAGTCATGTTATATTATTGTGTCCACGCGAGTCAAAATCTGAATCGAATATTTTTTCGGGTCAGTTTCGAATCGGATCAGATCGGTGTGGTTTTACACCTCTACTCAAAACTACCAAGTGGATAGAATACAATAACAAATAAAGATTCACTAATCAGTAAACAACACAGATTAATTAATTAACATCACAAAAACAACTCAAATTAATAGCTATAGTATCTCTTCATATATTTTTCTTTAGTTGAATTGAATAATTAAACGAAATCATATCCTCCAACCTTCCCCAGGTCCCAGGACATTACATTATCCTGTTATATTTTCTCTCTCTTCTCTAATGGCTTTTCTATTAAGTTGCTATTCTTACACGTAACTTTACACCTTCACTTCACAAGATGCACAAATTCTTGTGTTTTTTAACTGTTCAACCTGTACCTCGTGCTCCTGCTCTACCTTTTTTTTTCCTCTGCTTTAAGCTGAAAAACAACCAAATTTTTAATTAAAGAAAACCCAAAAAAAAAAAAAAAACCATTATCTGGAGCCCCAAAAACCCTGGAACTTTACTGAAGTTCTAGTAGTAAAGACTCAATCTTTTTAAAACCCTAGCTCTTGTTTCAAGGACCTTTTTTTGTTCAATAATTTGTGGTAGTTTCTGCTGAATTTGGGGTTTCTGCTGTTGCATTTACTACCCAGGTATATAATCTATCTTGTACTCTTAGATAGTGTTGTAAAGATCATTTTGAGCTTGATTTATGCTTAGGTTTGTTGATTATTGAACTGGGTTTTTGATTATGTTAGTAATTTTGAGAAACCCAGATCGATTTTTTGTGATTTGTTGAGGTTTGATATGAATTGAGAGGAACCCAGATTGGTAATTAGCTTTAATTTTGAGATTTTGATTCCTGGGTTAGTGGAAAATGGGTGTAAATTGTGAGATTAATGATGAGGATAAGGTTATGCTGGAAGATGTGGTGGGAGTTGAGGCATGTAAATTTCTGATGTCTAGATTTTGTGAAGAATTTCCGAGTGATTTTAATGATACAGGAAGTAGTGATGGTGGTATGCTGAATCTTCAGCAAGGGCTATGCCAAATTGTTGATGGTTCTAATTGGAATTATGCAATATTGTGGAAGATTGTTAGTTCTAAGAAGGATGGTAGGTCAGTGTTGATTTGGGGTGATGGGCATTGCCAAGACCCGAAGGTGGTTGTTGCCGGGGAGAGGGGAGATGGTGGGGAGGGTAAATTGGTTGAGGGTAATGGAGAGATTGGTAAGAAAGATGAGGCAAAGAAGAGGGTTCTTGAGAAATTACATGCTTGCTTTAGGAAATCAGAGGAGAATAATTTTGTTGCCACTTTGGATAAAGTATCAGATATTGAGATGCTGTATCTCACTTCAATGTATTATTGGTTTTGGTTAGACTCTTCTATGGGTCCTGCCAACTGTTTAACGTCTGGCAGACCGATTTGGGTTTCGGATGGTAGTGCCTGCTCAAATCACTACCAATCTCGGGCTCATTTAGCTAAATCAGCTAAATGTCAGACGGTTGTGTTTGTGCCTGTGAAAGCTGGAGTATTAGAGTTGGGTTCTATTAAAATGGTCTTGGAGGAGCAGAATCTGTTGCAAGTGGTGAAGCATATCTTTGGTGTACCTCAATCTGTACAGGCTAAGGCGTTTCCTAAAATTTTTGGCTGTGAGCTTAGCCTCAGTGGATCAAAACCACCATCGACCAACTTGAATTTTGCTCCAAAGTTGGAAGATGATGCTGCATTTTCTGCAGAATCTCATGTTGGTGGAAGTAATGTAGGTGCTAAGCACACTTATGGGTCATCGGCTAATGGGTGTGTTAGTGAAGATAGTGGCAAGAAGTTGGTTTCAGAGATCAATTTTGGTGGTTTGAATCCCGAAGCCCAAACTCCTGGCGTAGAGCCGACTAAAGAAGAACTTTTGTTGCAGCCTAAACCAAGAAAGAGGGGTAGAAAACCTGCTAATGGAAGAGAAGAACCATTGAACCATGTTGAAGCAGAAAGACAGAGAAGAGAGAAGCTTAACCAACGTTTCTATGCATTGAGAGCCGTTGTCCCCAACATTTCTAAGATGGACAAAGCTTCGCTCCTTGGTGATGCTATTTCTTATATTACAGATCTTCAAATGAAGGTTAAGATGCTCGAAGCTGAAAAGGAGATGGCTAATCCAAAGCAAAAGCACGTGGCTATCCCTGAAATTGATTTTCAGGCAGGGCAAGATGATGCACTCGTGCATGTCAGTTTCCCTTTGGATCTTCATCCTGCTTCAACTGTTGTAAAGACACTTAGGGATAATCAAGTCCTCGCTCCTGAAGCCAATGTTTCCACAACAGATAACAAGATCATTCATACATTTACCATCAGAACTCAGAATGGTGGTGCTGAGAATCTAAAAGAGAAGCTGCAGGCTGCTCTTTCTTTGTAAGATCGATCTTTGTTGCATGATCCTGGGACAGTAATGAGTACAATCTTTCCTTTTTGAAGGTTTAGCCTTCTCTTTAATCTGTGCTCTTTGTTGTATCTGGTTTTGGTTTACCATTTCTGATATATAATTAATGTGTCAAGTTCTCATGTATGATCTGCCTTCTTTAATTTGATATGATCCTGGCACAGTAATGATTAAAATCTTTCCTTTTTGAAGGTTTAGCACTTTCCACATGGCACCCACCCCACATCTAAAACCGATTGATTCTCGCTCCCATGTAGTTTTGTCATAGGAATTCCAGCTATATACAGAGCTGGTCCTTAGACGAAGAGCTCAATTGCGATTGACAGGAACATTCTCTGTAGATAGCAGGTGAGATAAGATCCAATTCGATTACTTGATATTAATATTTTGGATCAACAATATCTTTCAGAACTTATATCAAGAGTCAAGACTAAAACTTTAAAGTTCATGGCTTTAATATTTCGTCTTTAAACCTTCTTTAGTTGATCTATACATTGCCACTATTATCTCCTATTCCATAGGTTTGTGGTTTGTTAATACTTTGTTCTTAGCAAGCATAGGCTAGAAAATGGTTATTGTATACATTGTAGTTGTGGGATGATGGTTGTGCTGCAGCTCTATGCCTGTTATTGCAATCTCGATCAAAGATCTACTAAGTAACTGAAAATAGCAGAATCTAACCTTTGGAAAAGTTTCATATTCTTGTAAAGTTTTGGTGGAAGTAGAATGATTCTGATTAGAACTCTCAGATATATGATATCTGTTTCCTAGGTACTTGTTCATCCAGCACTCTTATACTCGTATTCACTATAAAATGTGCCTCAATTTTTTGCAGGTACTGAGTTAACAGAACAAAAGGGGAATCTATTTATGATCTACTGATCAAATCTATTTTATATTCCATATCTACTGCTATATAACTATAGTTGTTGTACAGGAGCAGATGTAAGCATCAGGCTTCGCTATCTTCTGATGTTTTTGTAAGTTTTTGGTATACTACGTAGATTAGTATCCCAATATCTCATCTTTTCAGAATTCACAGGTTAGTAGTTGGTACTTGCATTGAAGAACATGGTTTAGGCTTCTCAGAGTTGCATCTCCTTGGAGGATTTCTACCTGAAGTGGTCCAACGCTGATCAATGTGATCGAGCCTAAATGGTCGGGTCAATTTCAGGTAGTGACCTGGTCCAAATAGCATTTTTTGAACATTATGGTCTTTGGCTTGATTTTCTGGGGCTCTTCGGCTGACTGTTATCGCCCCTGAATTTGTACCATCAATTTTCCTATTTGACAGCATAGCATTGATTTTTAAGTTTCTGCTGGTTGAAAGCAGGGGTATGAATGAGTCAGCAGATATCCGAAGACAGACTGATACTTTTTTAAATTTGGCAATAGTATAACACTGTTTTTCTGGCATTGAAATTGTCGGGTCTTGAATCGCAACAAGTCTTCTTGTTTCAGTTTACTGGTAAAATCAACCTTGTACAGATGTGAAATCAAGAACAACATTGTTAGTTTGTAGCATAAATTTGTACTCAATGACTCAATGTAGTCAAATAAAGCTTCTGCAAAAAGAATTTTGATGTTCAGTCAGAATTTTGTAATCTTAAGCTTTGTCCAATTTCTCCCTTTTTGATTTAATTTGCTCCAAGTTTTCTACAACCAATATTATTGTGATGCACAGTTGCTCTTGAAAGAACGGTCAAAACAAGAAAAGCCAGCCAGGAGTATATAGTGTTGAAAAATAAACTGTCTTTATGAACTTACATTGGCTCCCTATATTGTTCAACCAAATTCATTTAAACCTTACCAAGTCTAGTAATTAAGTTTTCTACTTTTTGTATTCCCACATAATTTTATTCAATTCCGTCTATCTCAGGCTACATATCCAAAGTACTATTTTACGATGTTCGGATAAAGTTTATATTGCTACTGGTTTCTTATTGGAATTCCTAATATGACGTCGTATATAATTAGTGACGGGAAGAGGGTCTAAGTTGTCAATCTGTAACAAGGGGCATTTTTAATATCAAATCTTATTACTGCATAATAACTTACGCGTTTGTTGTAAAAATAAAATAAAATAAAATAAAATAACTTACATGTAATCGGGACATGTATGTGATAACTAGTTACAAATGAATGGAGTACACCAACTAATTAGACGAGACTACATGTATTTGTTAGTAACTAGGTACAAATGAAGGGATACACCAACTAATTATTCGAGATTATGCCCAACTACCCTAAAAAAACCAAGTATGAAAGAGTGGGGAGCACGTTTGAGTTCTTGATTAAGCTCTAACACACTATGTAATCAACAAATGATTCAAATTTGAGTCTAGTTGTCAACCTGTACAATTTGCACCTTTGACTTTTCTTTTAAAAAAATAGTACAATTGGTTCTAATATGAGGCAAAACTAGAAAATAATTTTCGAAGAACAAAATTTTCATTCAAGCTTTTAAAGATCAAGTAAAAGACTTTACCTACTATCAAAAATGTTTAAAACATTTTTACCTAAATTTTTTTTTATTAATGTAGCATTTGGGTGTCAACGATCCTAGCGGTCCCCTCCCCTCTATGTTCCGTTTATGTATCTATTTTGTAAAAGGTTTATATTAAATAGTAGTATAGATGTATAATCAATATAGACGAATATCCATCTCAAATTTCGGATACACATACAATAATGTTATCTCCCTAAAGACGAGTTTAGGGCCTAAACTGGAGTAGCTTATTAGCATCCTTGTTATAGTTATTGGTTTGAATTTGTACCCGTAGTTCAACTACTCGATTGTTTCCTTCCTTGCTTTTTATCTCTTTTTTTACCGACCTGTTAATAGTCCATACAACACCTTTTAGTACATACAACACTTGTACATGTTATAACACTGCCGCACATTTCTTTTCATCTAACTATGTTGGAATTTTCACCGGCCAAAAGTTGGTGAAAATTACGTTTTATGAGAAACATAACTTTTTAGTTGTATATATCAATACTTACCACTTACTATATGTGAACATAATACAATCAACCAGCCCCTTTCAAATTTTAATGAACAAATATAACTAATATATCGCTTCTTTTTATTTACCTCATTAAAAATGTATGTACGAGAATTAAGATTGTTCTAGTGGTTAGAGAAATAGAGACCCTCCTTCTGCTCATGTGAGAGAGGTTCGATTATCAACCTAAGCAGGTGAAATCCTAATCTTCTTCCGAGCAATTTTTTTTAAAAGGAACAATACATACGAAGTATACTACTGTATGAGAGAGTACGTTACTCAGATCCGTATGTTGGATTTTTTTTATGTACTCGTAGTACATAGGATTATTAATCAATCTAACCGTGTATGATGGTGAGTCGTACAGTTTGATTAATTCCAGTTTGTATATTTCAAACTTGTCAATTCAAACACCCTCCTAAACAATAGTCAACCACTTCCTACATTTTGACAGAAAAGTCAATGCCATCCATTCCCATTCATTCATTCATTTTATAACTAGTACCATTCCGTGCAGTATATATATATGCCGCTACTACATATACTCAAAGCATATCACCATCCATTCCTACGACCAATCGTACCGAGAAATCGAAACTCGTACAACAATTTTCCCTACCACATTAATACACTTTCGAGTTTAGTGATATATAATAAACATGGGTTTTGCTCAAAGAAGAGGATGTTATGTTGTAATGCTTACAATAATGTTCATATTTTTGGTAACGAGTTTTGATGAAGTTGAAGCTATAAGACCATTGAAAAAAGATCAAAAAACGTTATTATTAGCGTCGTTGCCTAAGGGTCCAGTACCGCCTTCAAAATCTAGCCCGTGTACTAACATCCCCAAGAGTGGTGGCACAGGTCGCTGCACCATGGAGGTGAATGTTGCCGGGGTTAGCACGCGGCACGCCCCGAGCTCCGCCAGCCTTACCTGAGTATATATATATATATGTCATCCAAGCACTATTGTTAAGGATGATATGATCAAGTTTTGCCATGCGCTTAAGGTGAAGAGTGTGAACATATAGTTTATTATTTATTTATTTTTCCCTAGAAACATGTATAGACTTTTGGAATATTTTTTTTTTTTGTTGTTTTAGAGAGCCACCAAGGCGGGTGATGAGAATCGATCTCAAGATCTCCTAGAATCGGGAGAGAAACTCTAACCACTTGAATTATCCCTCACTCTCAACTTTTGAAGAAATTAATTGTTACACAACATTCTTTAATTTTATTCTGAAATCAATAAAATGAAGGCCTCTGAATTTTATTTTAAGGTGTATGTTATGTTGTTTTTGTATTTAAGTTACTTCATAAGTTTTTGTATATGTATGAGTAGTATACTTTTTTTTAGATAATAAAAATTACGAATAAGGTCTCTTTATGGTTTTACTCAATTTATCACCCTCAACAAATGAATGAAGTGGGATCAGAGAGAAGAAAACATGATTGAAAACTACGGACGTATTAACAAAATAATCTACGACATTAGCCCTACTTATCTCTCAATACAATAGTGGTATATACATAATATAACCTTTTACCAATTATTTTATTTTCTACAATGTTTAGATGGGTTAGTAGTAAACAACTTTATATATATATACATATATATATATTAGGGTTATATTAAACAAGGTTATCTTAACTTTGTATCCATATTTGCAAAGTTTAATACATAGCCTTCCTTGCATTGATCTTTTCTAAAAGCATAGGTACTAAATGCATAAAATTTAATTAAATAACAACCGCAAAAAAAAAATAAAAAAATAAAAAAAAAAAAAAAAAAAAAAAAATTACGTATGTACTATAATTTCTTTACCAAATCTCTTCATATTCACCAAATCACCCTATCAAATCGTAATTACGCTGAATAATCACTTGCTTTGTGAATATTATTATCTTCACATCAATCTCTTTACAAGATGGCAGAGAAAATGAAGAACGAGATCGAGAAATTGGAGGAAAATTAATTTGTGTTTATTGATTATGAGGTGTTAAGTTACAGAAAAAGAAGATACGAGTATATATAATGTAGTAATAATACAGGAAGTATCTAGCAGGAAGTTTGTTGTGAAAGAACAAACCCAAAATATCTCAACAATCCCTATATTTATTATTTCTATTGTGTAATTCAGTAATTGTCCATGTATGACCATATATACCCTATAAAAATGACACAGGGGTACAAACATAATGTGTGCATTGAAGTACATATATTTGAAACTTATCATGCATAGACTAAGTCAATTGCTAAACATCCATCTAATAAAATATGAAATCTTTCAAATGAACTCCAATAAAATAAGCACCAACTCAATGACTAATGATACTAAATTACTAAGTTAATTCAGGTCAATATTGTAGCATGCAACTCAAAAGTTTGAAAATATGTATATACTTTATTTCCAATTTTTTTTGTCGAGCAAGTTTGAAAAGATATAAAGATATAATCCGTAATAGTTTCATAGTTTGCGAATTGCCTACATCAGAGAAGGAAAAGTTGCAGGGAGTCAAAGCAGCAAGTTGCCAACATAATATTGAAGAAAATATTATGATTGAACTATAACTTTGTTGAATGCAACAAAATTTACCGACCATGGGACAACAATTTCTTTTGGGTCCAACCCTATATATGCATGTCATTAATTTATTTATTTTGGCGAATGAGCAAGGACAATACAAATTACAAAAAAGGGTGGGGATGGAGTTTTTAATTATAATTTCGTAATATATTGTACACATACCCTCAATCTTAACAACTAGATCATGAACTCATATAATTAATATATATTTATGTCAATTCATCAAAATTATATTTGGGTGGGTTTATAAGGTAGAAATTTTGTAATCTATGTAGATTTTTATTATACTTCTTATAACGGATAGAATACGATATGAATTAGGGTTGTCAATCATATCATGTTATTATTCATTTTATTAATACAATATATAAAGTGCTTGAAAGTTCTTAGGGGCCATTTGGTTGGGGGTATTCATCAAAGGGAATGGGAATCAACAGGAATCATTCCCTTTGTTGTTGTTGTTAGGCTATTTTTCCCATTCCCTTTACCCTCTCCATTCCCCCAAATCCCTCCAAGTTGATTCCCCACCCCCCTTACGTATTTCCATTCCATTCCCTAGCTACCACCACACCACCATACCACCACCCTCCCCACCACCGGAACAACTAGCCACCCCACCAAAATCCCTCCCCTCACCCTCGCCGTCCCTCCCCCACCCCCGAAACAACCAGGCACCCCAGCGAAAACCTCCCCACCACCAGAACAACTAGCCACCACCGACCACTGAAAACCACACCATGTTTCTAGGGTTTTGCGAGGTTAGGGGAGGTTTTTTCAGAGGAGGGGAGAGCTATGTGGGCACGGGGAGCGGCGGCGAGGGGTGGGGGAGGTGTGGCGAAGGGTGGCTAGTGGTGGAGGAGGTGCGTCGGGTGGTGGGGTGGCTGGGTGGTGAAATTGTGTGCGATGTTAGAAAAACGACGGGGTTGGTGTTTTCGTAGTAGATTTCGATTTGCTGAGAGGAGGGTGACTCCAGGGTAGGGTTTCGGGATTTCGCTGGTGGTGGGGTTTTTGGATTTTGTTGATGGTGGGGTTTCAGGTGGTGGCGGTGTTAGTGGTGGTGTGAGTAGGGTGAGGTTGGTTATGGAGGGGTTTCAGATCTTGGTTGGGTGAGAATGATTATAGGATGCAGTGTTAGTGGTGGTGCGAGTTGGCTGGTGCGGTGGTGCGAGTTGGCTGGGACGACAATGCGAGTTGGTAGTGGTGGCCCTTGATTAAGTAATTATCCCCTCTTTTGTCCTACCAATTTTCATGGATTTGGCATCCCTCAAATAGCCAACGGTTCAAAACCGGTGCCAAAGGGGGGGTTTGAACCGGTGCCTTTTTATCTTTTTCGTCTAGTGGTGGTTGGATTGGTGGCATTGTTTCCCTTTGTTTTTTAAAACAAACAACATAGAAAATTTAAGGTAATTTCATTCCATTCTTTTCCATTCATTTTGTTCATTCCATTCCGTCTACCCTGTGTAAACCAAACGGCCCCTTAATTATCTTAACCTAACCCAATTGTTTAAAAACTTGAAATCTTTTGACTAGACTAGAACTAGTCCGTGTATTGAACAAGTTAGTAACCTTTTACCCATTAGCATACTCAGTAATACGCAATATTATTTGTAATTAGGGAAAAAAAATACAATTTTTTTTAACGAATTTTTAAGAAACTTTTGGAAAAATAAATGATAGCCAAGTGATAACGAACCCATGGAGCTACTCTCTTAAGCCGCATGCGGTCCATGCACCTTGTACAGAGGGTACTGATATAAAGTATTTCCTATATTTCCGGACAATGGGAAATACATGAGCTACTTCAACTGTTTTATTTTACATTTAACCTTGGTTTATACTTATTGTAAGGAGTAATTTTTTATGGGCGAATAATTCAAATAATAGTTATAGTTTGTGTGTACAAATTTAAAAGAATGGTTCGTTGGTAGTACGTAGAGTATGTGTTCGTTTTTCTTTTGGTGCATGTACGTAGAGTATATGTAGTAGGCAATGCAAATTGTTTTCTTGCACAACTAGTGGATGCACACATCATCTTACTAAAAATATGTCCAACCTAAGAAAAATAGCATGTAGTAGTAATTTCTTCGACATAAGATATATAAAGAAGAGCATTTGAAACAAAAGCTACTCATAATAATGTAATAAATGGGGAAAATGGCCGCCGAGAATTTATAACACGTTGTGCAAAAATGATAATTATAATAAAATAATAACAATAATAACCTTTTTATTAATACACATTTTAATACACAGTACATTTACATCTATAATCTTTAATAAAAGAATAAAATAAATCTTATTTTCGATAATAAATCAAGAACTTGAAAAAATAATGCCTACATACAAATTGACCTTTGTTTACCGTATCGTTATATATAAACTTTTACTTTTTCTGTCTTCCTATACCATAGGTGCAAAGTTTACGAATCACATATTTCAGCTAGATCAACTCAAGACCTTTGCAAAAATGAGCAAGTAAGACTCATTTACGTACAAACAGGAATGTTGCATGTAGGATTTGATCGAGATGGAGGAGATGATTGTCCACTACTCTTTACTTCTAAGTAAAGTTTAGCCACTTCTTGTATCCCTTTGCTTATTGCCACGTTAACTTCATTATCAAGAAAGCTCGCCGGTTTTAGCACCCTACAACTTGCATGTTGTATAACAACGATAAAACTTAGCAATAAAACTAATATTGTAATAGAACTAGCTAGTTTGAAATGGGAGTTCATTTTGTTAGAAAGATTGTTTAATTTGTGTGTGTATGTATATTTTCTATATAAGTGAAGGAAAGCTTGTGTTTTGAATGTATGTATGTAATTCAGATGAGTTCGTTTAAGTTATGATATTTGAAGAGGCGAGTAATGGGTATTTATACACTCCTAGCATGCATCGTACGGGTAGCTCAGCTCATTGAATAGGTAAGATTACTATATGGGTAGTACAGAAGAATTTTCTTGCTAATTTGGGAAGACTAAAGACTTGGACCATTGAATAGTTGGCGATCATAAAATTGGTATATTATACAGTATTTTTTTTAACGTGTAATAAAATGAGAATAGGTAAACAGATTTGACTTTCATGCAAACCGTGGTTACGACAATTAATCAATTATGGATCTGCCATCATTGCATACAAATGATACAATAATAATAGTGGTATAAACGGACATTATATTCTCGTTATCGTCAAATATAGAAAGCACATGCTTATATATGTTGCATACTACGGACAATATAAGGATCAAAATTAAACAACTTATTACTTATTTATGTGTATATATGTATATATGGTATACTTCACACATTATATATTACTATTATTTATTTATTTATTTTCATTCCTAAATTAAAACTAGATAAACTAACTTATTTTTAACCAACCAATCTACCTTAGGTCATGTAGTTCGACCATAAGTTTTCATAGGCGATTTTGAATATATGTAGCATTAGGATGGGTATTTTGATAGAATATAAACTCGGTCCTTAATAAATTTGTGTAACTGAGTAAGGAATTGTCAACATTTTTTTTTAATTAAAGTAATATTTTCTACGTAATTTTGTTTTTTTTTTCTTTTC